AGTCATGCATGGATGGATTTTGTTCAGATTTAGTACAATGTGTTGTACATATGCAGGTGCATTTCGGTCATGATCTGCTTTAAATGTATATGTCACTCAAATATGAACGGAACGGGGACGTGTCATTGACAATGACTTGTTTAACAAATCACACATTTTTTTTTTCTGAGAAAAAAAGTCTTTATTATCCAGCATATCACTACATGCAAAAACATTATTCATAATCTGTATGTCCATACAGAGATAAAATAATTCCATAATAATCTAAAAATTTATCAAAGCGGGGTAGTTGTCGCATGCGCATGCGTCAGACAGCCATAGCGTGTCATTGGTTACAAACAAAAGTCTACCCATGAGCCTTTGCGTTTTTAGCGTGCATTGTTATCGTTGTTTGGGACTTAATTCTCGTGCGTGCACAGGTGACAACCCTCCCGCTTTAAGAAAATGAAAAATCATAATAATCATAGAAAAAAATACTGATGGTTTCTAATGCTGTGTCAATAACATACTTAAATGGAAGTTCAGAAATATGCATACCATATCAAGAAAGTATTAAAAGTATAAAGTCAAGTCTTGAGAATAAGACGTCATAGTGTGTAATTCTACACACAACCCTATATACTTAATATATATTATATATTATTTTGTGAGTTTAAAATAATTACTAAATAGTGTAGCATTTCAATCAATTGCATTACGATAATGTTTTACATGTCATTGGTGACAATGGCATCTACTTACTGCACTATAAAGAAAATCGTTACAACCAGGTTTGAACTAAAGCAAAAAAGTTCACATAATGAAACAGAACTCTCACTCCCCCCCCCCCCCCCCCAAACACCCAGCATGGTAATTCTGGGTGATTTTTTTATACTGTACATTCACATTTACGAAATCTTCATTCATATTTCCATGCTGACTACATAGATCCTTCAGAAAAGGATTATAAATATAAAAACAAATACAGCAACCTTGACACAATTCATGGTGACCGAGCCATGCATTTAACTTATAGTTGAAACCTCTGTCAACAGACATGCCCATATATGGGCACAGCGATTAATATGCATGACCCTTAAGATCATACATCTTGGCATTTTGGGAATATAATGATTCTCCAAGAAAACACAAATATTTTTTTTTT